GGCAAGTTTCTGATCATTGGTGGAGGCATTGCCAACTTCACGGACGTGGCTGCGACGTTCACTGGTCTTATCAAGGCTCTCCAGGAGTATGCCGATGACATCAAGGACCTGTCACGTGCATGTTGCATGACATCTTGTTGTCAGTTTAGGCCTACCTGCGGTGCAGGCATTCTAGCATATGCGGCCATCAGGAGCACAAGATCAAGATCCTGATTCGCCGAGCCGGTCCCAACTACCTTGAAGGCCTGCGCAAGGTGAAGGCTGCCAGCGACAAGCTTGGCCTCGGCATCAAGGTGCTTGTCCTGCAATGTCTCAAAATGTAACTTTCTCTAAGCTCAAAGTGCCAGGTGTACGGCCCGGAGACCCACATCACGGCTGTGATTCCCATGGCCCTGGGAAAGATCGATCCTCTTCCAGAACCGGACCTGTCTGCTCCTTGCGGGCCTCCGGCCCGGCTCCCGGGACGTGTGAGGGTTCGAAGGTGCGCTTGCTGCCCTCTGGGCACATTCAGGTTCGGAAGATGATTGACCTCAAGGGCAAGAAGCACGCCTGGCGAGATTGTACGAACAGTCCGCATGCCTTCTTCACGACCTTTCTTTCTTTGCAGGCCCACGCCGAAGGGCCATCCTCCTGCGCCTGCAGGTGGATAGCTTACTCTGCTGACATGTGCCCAGATTGTTTTGATCCTGATGAAGAATCTACATTGCCGTTTCCGTTTGGTTGCTGGCATGGCCTCTTTCTCTTGACTCAGAGCCGCCGCTTGTTGTCAGGAGTATTGTTGCTATTAATCCGCTACATCGTCCCTGTTACGAGGACTTGAATCACTACTCCTGTGTTTAGTGAGCTTGATGTTGCTAGGCGGGGATGCGGATGGCGGAGGAGATGGTGGCAGCATTGATGAGCATCAGTCGTCACAGTTGTCGTCGGCCGCCCTGGATCGAGTGTAGATTTGTCAGTAGTGGAGTGGAGGATTTGGAGTCGTGTAGGCCACCTTACAGTACGGTCCGCACAGATGTGGATGGTAGGTCCTAGCAGGCGGCGCTGGCTATTGATGGGTGGTGGTCTCCTGCGGTGGTAGTGGCGATGGTTGTCGTCGATGCTGGTTGTGGTGTGCGGTGAACGATTGATGGGCGTCAATTTTGTGTCATTTTTTGCTTTTGGGCTGCATGTTGAAATCTTCCGTGTGCAGGCACCAAGCACACTCTCGTGACGGCCACGTCATGCCGGCATGTCTTGAGCGCGAGACGTTCTTCTTTTGACCTGCCGTCTTTCATTGCAAGGCCAGAGACCACATCGATTGTGTACGGCATGCAAAACCGAGCGGTTCAAGGCTAGGCTGGTTTCTTTCTTGCCGCAATTCATTTGCAAGGCACTGCCAAATACGTTCTGTCGGACGGTGTGCGCGGATGGCAGAATTCATGGCGTCCAGGTATGTTGGACTTTGACTTCATGTGCAAGCGTACCCTGGCAGAGTGGTGTATGGCAAATGCGACCGTGCGAAGCACAGCTTTCTGCGATTGAGGCAAGAAGCCGTCCGTGGATGCCATGGTCTTCCCCTTCTCCGGCAACTTGGCTGCGACGAAACTAGCTGACTTTGTCACTGCTGCACCTAGCCTCGGAGCAAAAGCCAAGGAAACCATTATGCAACTGGGCTGCATGTAAGACTGCTTTCTCGACGTAACATCCGACCTCTTCTGGGACCGACAAGGTCAAGTTCTACTGGGGCACAGAGGAGGCAGTTGCGGGAATGATTCCACTGTGTTACCCAGTCCAGCCGACAGAGCACTGACTTGTGATTTTCTCTGCAGTAGCTTTACCTTCAATTTTGTTGAATGCTGCACCGACATTTGCCTTGCAGATCCTGATGCCTGTCTACACTACGACCAAGGAGGCATTGCATTTTCGGGCCAGCGGTGTATCTGCAAGTTAGGCAGTGGGGTGAGGGGAGGATGGGGAGACGTGGGCCACACCCGGCACATCCCCGTAGACAGGGCAGTGTTTGTGCAAGAGTGCACCGCGGTCTGCTTTCGTAGAACTGGCTTACTGGCGCCAGGCGGTGCAGAAGCATTCCAGCGCCTCTGTGTTCGTTAACTTTGCCTCCTTCCGCTCCGTGCACGAAACCTCTATGGAGGCCTGGTGAGGGAGCCGTGTTGGCAAATGTCTTCAGATGCCTGGTTTGTGAAGGCCATGAATTACAGCAGCTTGAAGACAATCGCCATCATTGCCGAGGCTCCTTTTTGCAGGTTCTGGCAGGTTGTGACACTGTCGTGTGCTTGTGCCGTTGGCAGGGTGTGCCTGAGCAGCAGACAAGGGACATCATCAAGGTCGCCGAGAAGAAGGGTGTAGGCCCGCATGCTTGCCAATGCAGATCTGTTATTGACTTTGCCGCTGATGATACCAAACCGGCCAGGCATCATCGGCCCAGCAACTGTGGGTGGCATCAAGCCTGGCTGTCTCCGCATTGGGAACACTGGCGGCATGCTGCAGCCTTAGATGCCGAGTTTCCCGGTTCGTCTGGGGGTCTGGTTGCCCTTGAAGAGACCATGGTGCAAGGTTGGACAACATTGTGATGTCCCGTCTCTACCGACCGGGTTCTGTTGCCTACGTTTCCAAGTCCGGAGGAATGCCAGGAGCCAAGCTCGACTCAGACGAGAAGCAGGCCGTGACATTGTCGGCCCAGGTCGAACGAGCTCAACAACATTGTGTGCCGTAACTCGGACGGTGTCTATGAGGGTGTTGCGATCGGCCGGAGCCTTTGCAGAGTTGTGCAGGCACTTGTCGTGGGCCATTCCATGCTGCTTCTGTGCTGATTTGAGGTGGCGACCGCTACCCTGGCAGCAGGTTCTTGGATCATTTCCTTCGCTACCAGGAGATGAAGAATCACCATCTTTGCCTGTAATCGCTCCCATGTGCCTGTTACACTGTTGCACTTCCCTGAGCCACCTCGGAAGGACGACCCCAACGCCAAGATGCTGCTGTTGCTCGGAGAGGTTGGCGGAATTGACGAGTACGACCTGATCGACGTGCGCACCCGAGCTGGTCCCCCTCCCAACGGGTGCGTCAGACCCTCGTGGTGCGGAACGTGAGGCCGTGAAGAAGGGCCGGATCACCAAGCCAGTCGTAGCCTGGTGCGTGGGCACTTGTGCCTCGTGCTTCACCACGGAGGTGCTTCAGCCTTTGACTGCACTGAGAGACGCAGCAGCTGTTTGCTGCTTGTGAGCAGGTGCAGTTCGGACACGCTGGTGCGCAGGCACGTGGGCTTACTTCTTTCGAAGAGTGGACTCTAGACAACCTGGCTGCCCAGGCCCGCGGCGACATGGAGACCGCAGCAGCAAAAAACAAGGCCTTTGCCAAGATCAAGGATGCCTGTAAACGGCCTTTGTGCATCCTGGACTGAGAAGGCAATGAAGGAAGCTGGATTCCACGTGCCAGACTCCTTCGATCTACTTCCGGAGATGATCAACAAGGTCGGTTCAGAGTTGATGAAAATGCAGGGTCCTTTCTTGCTGCTTGGCGCACCGTGCCGCTGCCAGGTCTACACCAGTTTGGTGGAGGCCGGTGAGATTGTGGAGCAGCACGAGGGCGAGACCCCCCAGGCTCTGAAAGGGCAGCTCAGGGGGCAGCTCAGGCGGCAGCTTCAGCATGGAAGCCACACCAGGTGCCCATGGACTACACCTGGGCAAAGAAGCTTGGAATGGTCAGGCTCAGCATCATGCAGATTTCCTTCAAACCGTTTGTCGGCAACGGTGCGACATGTGTGCACGTCGCTTGTGTCCCTCGCAGGAAGCCTGCAAACTTTATCTCATCCATCTCCGATGATCGCGGAGAGGACGGTCCAGAAGCTTCGTGCGAGCCGTGTTGCAGTTATGAATGCCAAGGAGCTGACCTACTGCGGCATGAGCATCTCAGACGTCTTCACCAAGGACCAAGGGTGCTGCTGTGATCTGTGCAGCTCTTTGCTTGCCCTGATGTCCGAAGCCAGGAGATTGGCATCGGCGGCGTTCTCTCCCTCTTGTGGTTCCGTCGCCAACTTCCTGCCTTGCACTGAGAAGAGACTGAGATCCAAAAAGCCCAAGCGATCCCGACACAGAGAGATAGAGCGAGAGAGAGAGAGAGAGAGCACTTGCGCGGGACGGGAGGGCTGCTCCCGCCCCATGCCCTAAGCAAAGCAAAGCAAAGAGAGAGAGCGGTGCGGAGGCAGACAAAGACAGACCAACAAGACCAGTGCGCGTGAGCGAGCACGGGTCCGCCTGCTCTCCTTTGGCTGTGCAGAAGAAGTGGTGCGGAGGTGTCTATATTTTAGCCCAGCTCACTTGCCTTCACGAGTCCTTTTCGCTGGGTTTCGGTTGTGGTCTCACGTCTCCCCACAAAGCCCTTGCACCGGGGTGAACCAATCGGCTCCGGGGGCCCTGACCAGTCTCTTACGCGCCGGAGAACAGAACAGAACAGCGGGAGGTGTCTGTGTGTTTTCGAGTGGAGCCAGCCTGCCTTGTACATTCCCCACCTGACCGGTGAGAGGGGAAGTCCATGTGCATTACGGAACAGTCAGATTAGCGGGAGTTCTTGTGCCACCAAGGCTTACGCAACGAAGTTCATCGAGATGATTCTCATGGTCACAGCCGACCATGGTCCAGCGGTGAGTGGTGCACACAACACCATCGTCACAGCCCGCGCAGGTCCAGTGTGAGCAACAGTCCACGCACAGAGTGGATCGCGGTCCCACGCTAGGCAAGGATCTCGTGTCCTCTCTTTGCAGCGGCCTGCTGACGATTGGGCCTCGCTTCGGTGGTGCCCTGGATGATGCGGCAAGAATGTTGCTAAGCTGGCATTCTCACAGTGAGGGATTTCTATGAGTTGGGATCATCTTTGCCTTCACTCTTTTGGTTCAGGTTCGCAGATGCACAGGGCAGCGGAGTGGCGCCCAAGGCCGGGTGGCCCCGGCAGCCGATTTCGTTTCTTCTTTAGCATCGCTGTCATCGCTACTTGTAGGATTGGATCGAGAAGATGAAGAAGAGCAACCAGCTCATCATGGGCATCGGGCACAGGATCAAGTCCCTGGCAAATCCTGACCAGCGAGTCGGCTCCCCAAGTCCAGTCTCACCAGGAGTTCCCGCACGAAGTGGCATGCCAGGTGGAGATCATCAAGGGTTTCGCCAAGAAGAACTTCAACTCAACGCCCGTTCTTGACTATGCCCTCGCAGTCGAAGCTCGGCTAAGAATCGTTAGATTTCGCAACGCTCCTGCAGCACAGTCACTTGCAGCTCCGCACCTCTCAGCAGATGTCAGTGGTGGCGCTGCGCCAGGAGCAGATCACTACCCGCAAGCGAGCAAACCTGATCCTGAACGTCGACGGATGCATTGCCGTGTCCCACCCACGGTGGTTGAGCGTGTTGACAGGATTCGATTGTCTTGCTTCGCCGTTTTACATTCCATGCGACTTTTGGGTACCCAGGTCGTTCGTGGACATGATCAGGTCTTGCGGGGCCTTCTCCAAGGAGTTGTGCAGCCAGGGTTCTGGGAAACTGTTACAGTGAAGTGTATCACCCTGGCGCACCTGTGCCAGATGAGATCGGAAGATCGTGAACAGTGTTGTTTCTGGCAGGAAGAGTGCGACGACCTCATGGACTTCGGCTGTCTCAACGGACTGTTCGTTCTAGGCCTGTGTCAGCTTCGCGCGACACCCCCGGTCCCCTGTGATGGCGGGCAACCCATGGTTAGGCCGCTCCATCGGATTCATCGGCCACTACCTGGACCAGCTTCGGCTGACGCCTCAGGAGACAGGGCAGGAGTTGCACTCCAGGGCTCACAGATCAAGCGTGCCTCAAAATGGCGAGCGAAAAGACATGTTGAGTAGTTGGACTATGCGAGAATGCAAGGCTGAAGCAGCCGCTGTACCGCCATCCTTGGGACGACATCACATACATCCAGGACCCGACACGATCAAAGATCTCACTGTTTGAGGCCACGCCTCCCTTGTTAGAATCAGTTAAAACTGTTTGACTCATCGCCTGTTGCTGCAGGAGCTTGCTGGCCAGGGGCCGGAGTAAATAAGGCTCGGTTTGCCTACCTCTTGCTGCAAGCAGCTCGGCCAAAACTTCCGGTAAACCAAGTGATGGAGCGGAAGCAGGCACATGCTTGTGCAGCAAGCAATTGCCACAGGCAGTCGTCGTCAAGACGAGACAAAAGTTGCACGCCACGGCCTGATCTGTCTTGACGCATTGCGATCGAGGGGCAGTGCGATCTTTCCCTGCTGTTCCGACACCGATTGCATGCGATTGGTCGTACCAGTTGTCGTTCTTGTTTTGCCGTTCGAAGTCGTCGACGTCTTCTTCCTGACCAGGTCTTTTGCTTCAGTCTTCAACTGCACATGCTCGTGATGACCGGCTCAGCCAAGTATCCTCCTGCCCGGGTTTCTGCTCTGATACCCTGCAGCTGTCCATGTCTTCACTCACTGTCCACATCACAGTTTTTTTTGGAAAGCGAGTTTCCGCAAGTTTCACGACCCAAGACATGCTTGTGCCCAACATTCGGGCGCGTTCCGATGCGTGGCGCTCGTCAGGGCTACAGCACCTCGCTCCCTGTCAGCTGGAGAACGATGGCAGAGCTACTTGCCTTCTTCACTTGCCGCAGCGGTTACCGACGTTACTTCTGCTGCTTCCGGGTTGTCTGCCTTCGTGGTAGCGTCTGCCATGCACCTGCACACACCGGTCACGAGTACCGGATCCATGGACCACACACGGTCAGACCAAAGCATGTCCAGAGCATGCTCCTCATGTCTTTAAAAAACTTCGTCGAGCTTCCTCAGCGTTTATTCTTGCGGAGACCTGCCCCTTTGTCGTCTGTGTACGAGGATACATCGTTAGACATGTTAGTTAAATGCTAGCTTGCAGACCACGGGTACGAGCTTTAATACGTCGAGTGCTCTGCATGCCAAAGCAGGCTGTTGAGCTGACACTTAGCCTGCCGAGGTCTGGCAGATGCAATTGGCTATCAGTTTTGCGCCTGTGCTATTCCGCGCTGAAGCTCAGCCTTTACCTCCCCGGACCACTTTAGAGTCCAGCTTGGTGGGTAGATGCGTGCGGAAGCGTAGCTGCTTAAAACGGCAGCTTGATCATGCTTCTTGTTCTCCAGGTTTTCCAGAAGAGATTTATCTCTGGTGGTGTTGTCACAGCACCTAGAGGATCGGTACGAGCAGAGCATCGTCATGTCTACTATTGGAGCATCTGCAAGATTTTGACCGGTGCTGTGGGGATACCCTCCAACCTCCGCGGAAGCTTCGAAGCACGCCATGGTCGGGCCCTTTCTACAGAGTCACAGTCTGCGTTCATGCAGGAAAGAGCTAGAAGCGAGAAGAAAAGACCTTTGACACAAGATGTGGGTGCTTGCCGTGCAGAGACTCTTCACGACCCCTCTGACAGAACTGTTTGCAGGCAGCTGAAGTTGGCTGGTCGGAGGTGCAAAAGGCGGGCGGAATCTCTGTTGTGTTAGGCTGCTGGAGAGCCATGGGCAGGACCAAGATGGCAGAGCTATGCGCGGTGATGGCCGCAAGCTTGCCCACAAGTTGCTTGCCTCGATGTACCTCAGTATAATCCGCCGCAGCCGGCTGTACCAGGGTACTTCTGTTGACAGTTACGTTCCTGTCCGCTGGGCGGTGCCGCAGCAGGTTCAACATCTTCCAAGAGATTTCCTCTGAAGATGATGATGGTGAGCTCGAGAAGGACGTCAAGTGCACCTGCTAGGTCAGAAACTTTCGTGTGGAGTGCCGTAGACCCCTGCATCGCCATGAAGCTGTACCCTAGTGCACAGGAGCGGCGCGGCCTCACAGTGGAGCAGATCTTGGCGCGAGCCCTAAAGTGGCCAGCGTCATCTCCGGCCAAAGCCTGTGCTGTTACATGAGATGTACGAGTCCCATTGTCGCCAGTCCTAAAACTGCATGACCTGCTCCTTTAGCACGAGAAGTCTCTGCGATTTCGTGGGCACTCCCCATTCAAAACTTAGCACACTGCACTGAAGGACGACAGCACATTTCATGCTCATTTTGCTTTCGTGCTGCAACGCAGTAGACAGCAATCACGATCGCGGTCATGTGAAGAGTTAGTGGCGGCTGGTCAGAAGGGCCCAAGGAGTTGAGGGGAGGGATGATATGTCAGGAAGAAAAGTGGTTTCACGGGGGAGCAAGAAACTTCGAACCGGTAAACTGAAGGTTTGAAATTGTGGATTGAACTTGGTAGCTGTGTGTTTCCGGTCATACATTTGCCGGCAGACCAGCTGATGAGGAGAGAAGTCCGAAGTATGCGGACAAGTTCTTGGATAAAGTGAAGCCCTTACTGGTCGACCCGAAGGCGCGGAGAGTGCCGTGCAGCCAAATCCCCGAGGCCCCACGTGATACTTTGGGTGCTGTGTGAGCAGTCCCGGGAGGTCAGCCAAACGGCTGCCGGAGGTGCGTTCACAATGCTGGAGGCGGCCTGAAGCCCTCGACCACAAAAATCCTTCATCACTTGGACCACTTCGGGCCTCTGCTAGGAGCCACACTTGATGCCCCTCTTGAACGAGAGCCGAGACCTTGTTTGCAGAAGTGGATGCTGTGCTTTGATGGCTTTGGCCCTGCTCCGTGTCCTCGTCCACCTCCACTGCTTCAGAGTGATAAAGAAAGTGTTCTCGCACGACATGGACCTTACAATATGACGGCCGTAACTCACATCATCATCGTCAGCATTACCACCATGATACTGTTCGTGGTCTTCCTCCTCCGCATCGTCGTCGTCGTCCTCCTCATCATCGTCATCGTCATCTTGATCATCATCATCATCATCATCATCGTCGTCGTCGTCCTCATCAACCTCATCTTCGCCAGCGCCATCATCATCATCATCATCATCATCATCATCATCATCGTCATCGTCACCGCCATCGCCCTCGTCATCATCATCCTCCCCCGAGAACAGCATAGGGATCAGAGTCTTGAGGTTCCAAGTCGGTCCAGCGCCACATTCGCAAGTGCCGGACTGCCTTGAAGTGCCAGCCTGACAGACCGATCCTTCATGTTCCTGGAAGTGTCCTAACAACTTGTTGGTCATATGGCAAGACTGTTCTCCCAAGGCAGATGAATTGGGCGATGACATCTCTCTTGGCGCACAAGGTCATCGCTGTGATGTGTGCGGCCTTTCATCCCATACAAAGGTTTCGAAGCATCGGAGGGCACGAGGCACAAAACCATCCTGAATAACAAAGTCTTCATGGTTGGACTTCAGTCATCCGCAGATCTGCCAGCCCGTCTCTGCAGTAATATTCGTGGGACTTGTGAAGTGTTTACATGACCTCTTGCCTTGTTCTAGCAAGAGCTGCAGTGCCAGCACATGCCAGCTGTCGAGGACAGCCCGTGGCGTGGGTTGGAAGTGAAAGGCTCTTTAGCAGAGCACGGCTGCGCCCCGGGCTCGGCTACGGTAAGCTCAACCCCGCAGCTGTCCATTAAGCCTGTGAAGCCCATCACATTCGAGTACTTCATTTTGAATACCAGTCCCGGCTCGGTGCAGTCCAGCTGACGAGGTCAAGCTGTTGGAGTTGATGAAGTCAGGCCAAGTTCCTATCGTCTGTTCACCTGGCAGGGTCCTTGATCCATTATTCTCCGCTCGCGCGGCTTACACCTGCAGGTATGGCTGTCGGCAAGTTTAGCGAGGCACCGCAGCTCCGACTTCCTCCAAGCATCACGGTACCAGGAGCACAGAGACGGCATGCTACGCTGGCTCTTGACGCTTTTTGGACACATAGCAGCACGACAAGCTCTGTTGTATGTCAGAGTTTCTGGCATCTTCAACGAGCACTCGTCTCTTCCGTAAACCTGCTAAAACAGGTGCACGAAGAGGAGTTCGCGAAGCTCATGGACAATCTGCACAGGCTTGGGTCTTGGGTTGCCTTGCTGATGCAGCTCCGCTCTGCTGGCTCTCCTTGTGCCAAGAGAGCTGTTCGTGTAAGTGCTGATGAGGGTTTCTTCATTCTGACAGCAGTCATGCAGAACAGGCTGTACATGGATATCTTCGAGCGCCGTGGTCAGGAGTCTTTGGTGCCCCTTTACATTGCTTGAATCGAAAAGGGGTGTCGGGTCCCCCTGCGACAGCATCATCTCAGCAGATATTCCGAAGTTTCCTGTCAACCAAGTTGCACTGGTTTCAGAAGCTTGGGGGGAAGCCAGGGGTTCTTCAGACCCTGATCTGAGCTTCGTGCAGTACGGCTTCCTGTCACATTATTGGTACTTTCATCTCTTCAATTCAGGGCTATTCAGCTGCTCTGCGCCTAGCTGGCTTATGAAGCTTGGACTTGGGAACGTTCAAACTAGCGAAACTAGCGCGTGGCAATCTTTCTTGGGTCAGCTGGCATGCTCTAGCACAGCTGCGCTAAGATCTTCATAAGAGGTTCCTAGCACGGTTACAATTCCGGGATGGAACCGGCCATGTCGCTGCGATTGGCACCTCCTCGTGGCGAACTTCCTGTGGTAAGAACACAGCATGCTGCATCTGTTCTGCGACCGCTTCTGGAAGACATTGCGCATTTCCGGCATGATGCTGCGATCCGCCACTGGGACGAATGATTGTCGATGGCACGTGAGTCGCATGCTCATACAGACCCGAAGTTGAGGTCCCAGCCATGCAGCCTTGACAGTGGCTGCCAGTGCAGGGGCACGTTTTCGGAGCAAGATTCGCCGGTGTGCAGCACCAGCTCTCAAACGAGTTGTAAAGGAGAACACGAAGACGAAGATGGCAACCACAAACCTTTGGGGTGTCGTGATATGTGCGCCCATCTCGAAAGGGAGGTGGTGGCAATTTTGGAAGCCAGTATCATGGCGTGACTTTATGGGCAAGCATGCTAATCCGTTTTTGAAACTGAGCTGCTCTCCGTTTTTCGCTAGCCTCGAAGCATGAGCCTACTTGCAGCGCCATTTTGCCCCCTTTGTCATCTGTGCTTCTCTCTCCAGCTCACAATTTGATGAGAAGGTTCTTATACGGATGGGTCTTCGCACCTTCTCGGTCCAGAAGTTCGCCGAAATGCTGAGAGAGGCACTACCAGACATCCTGTCGCCGGAGAAGGCACAACGAGCTGCAGGGGAGCTGGTTGAGACCGAACCCTGGCATCTTTCATGTTGCCCCTCAGTGAGTGGCTTTAACCTGCTTCGCCCCATCGCAGTTACGCCAAGTAAGGCCTTGGTTGGCGAAATTGGCCGGGCTGTGGTTCTCGGGGATTCACGAGACAAAGCGTATCGATGCCGCGATCGTTTGCAAGCCATGCTTCCGGACCTTGAGGCTGTCTCTGCGCTTGAATTGCACGAGGGGTAAAGCTGCCTAGGCTGTTGGCGGGTGCTGCAAGAATCACAACTTTACTCCAACATGTGGTTCTTTCTGGAAAGCCTTGTCGAGCAGGTCCTCGTGGAACCACTGCCTTGAGGTGATGCCTCATGGGGCTTTAAAAGGGCAGAGTAGTGCTCCTTTAGGCCAAAGTCTTAGCCTGAGGAGTGCCTACGCTTGACTGTGAGAAACAGCGCTGTTGGCGTGCTGCCCGCAGAAGAGTTGGCATGTGTGCGATGCTGACGATAAGATGAAGTCCCAAGCCCGAAGGAGCTGCTGAAGGGTGCCATTCAGTCAGAGTGGCTCGGCGGGTGAATCTGCACCAGAGGGTCAAATATGCATAAACCTTCCGCCTCGTGTTGGGCTCTGGTCTCTTTTCGAGTCTCAAACAGTCGTGTCTTCGACTAGGGATCTAGCAGCGGTCTGGCAAGATTGGATTGAATGTAAAGATGCTGACCTCTGTTTGACCTGCAGCTAGGATTTCCCCTTGTTATGACAGCGAGTCGCACGGGAAATGCTAGGTTGGATGTGATCTACCTCCTTCCGGAAAGTGGTGGCCGCTTCCCGGATGGATCTCGAGTTCTCCTCCAGGCTTCACATCATCTTCTGCTTTGTCTTGCAAGTGGGTTTCCGGGAGTTGTGGGGCCTCCTCTGCGCTTCTCAGTGCAGGAGTTGTCAGCCAGAGCAGATCTCAACGGCAAAGCAGGCAAGATCGTGGCATGGGCAAACCCGGCCTGTTTCAACAGCTAGCGTTGACGTGCTGCTGTAAGGCCAAGCACCATCACCGGTGTCTCACATGTGATGTGCATGCAACAGTGCAACCATCTCGGTGCAGCCTTGGAGCAGCTGCCGCGCTCATCTCTGGCTGAATGGGGGCGCAAAGAGCGGACTCGAAGACGGCTCAAGGCTGATGTAGGAGCTGTCGAAACCAGAGCCATGTTTACGCCCGTGGAGTCCGCCATCGGCGGCATGCTCATTGGGCTGTCAGCTGCCATCTCCTACTTGGTGCCCGTAGCCGCACACTCTAACCTAAGTGCAACCCTAAGCCCTAAACGTCCCCAACACTAAACCCTTAACTGGAAAATTTCTTTGCATTCCCGGAACTCCTCGAAGGTGGATGGCAGGATCGCTGGCGTTGCCGGCATCCTCGGCCCTTTCCTTCGTGGTGTGACTCAGTGCCAGCCACTGAAGGATGGCCAGCTGTGGAAGATACTTTTTCTGCTGGGCTTAGTTCTGGGAGGCTTGATTGCCATGGCTTGCAATCACGATTTCTCGTTTCCTCGAGCAGCGCCCTTCCATGTCGTCCGTTACATTGCAGCTGCGATTTTTGTCGGGATCGGCACGCGTGTAGGAAAAGGCTGTACAAGTGGCCACGGCATCTGCGGACTTCCCAGATTCTCGTCAAGGAGTTGGGTTGCAGTGCCGACCTTCATGGGTTGTGCGATAGTTACAGTTGCCCTCACACGGCATGGTTTCCAGTGGGATCAGCCCGGACCATGGGCAGTTGCCGAGCTGCAGTGGCCTCCCAAGTGGGAGTTTCCTGTTGCCTCCTTGGTGGCCTGTGTTTTGCTGACGGGTCTTGTGCTCCTCCTTCCGATGCCTGTTCGCAGCTATGCTTCACCGACACTCGCGGGGATCATCTTCGGCCGCTGCCTCAATCCAGGGTAGCTGTGTTGTGTGTGTCTGTCACAGGTTTTCAAAACTCTGCGACTACTGAATATCAAGCAAGGGAAAACCAAGAGTGACTTACACAAGGTAAAAATAACTAACGTACACATGAACCCAGAAATAACGAGGGTGCAGACGAGAAGAGCACTAAGAAACTACGACAGCAACCTGCATATCAATAAGCAGATAAACAAAAATGCCCAACGAAAACCCGCAGGACGTAGTGACAGATACCAGTAGTCAGTAGCAAGAGTGAATCAACGAATGCATGTGGCAGAGAAGAAAAGGACGCCCAAAGACATAGTATTCGGCAGCGAGTGAACAACGAAGTAAGGGACAGGCGACATACATAACGCACGCGATGCAAAAGTAATAAGTTTTTGCCCACGGATTTCGTGCGAGCAGCATGTCGTCCAGTCGCCCCCCTGTGTTGGTCAAGGCGTTGCATGTCGTCCGTCCCATGGTTACGTTTGCATGTGGTGGGCACCACCACCCAACCCGTTACTGGTCTCCAAGCTGGGCCTTGTTGTTGGACACAGCCAGGGGGTTAAAGATAACAATCATGCTTCTTCGCTCTAAGGAGTATCACCCCATCTTCGCATCACTGTTGGTAGCCCAAGGAAACACCCGAAGTCGCAAGTCAGGTTCCACCTCGGTGTGACCTTTGAAACCATAATTCACCAACAACTTGCCGCAAGACGCGGCCCTGTAACTTGGAATTCTCCATTGGCTTGCAGCCAAGCACAGCTCTGCTGCACTTGATTAAGCCGATTCTTATTACTGATTCTTAACCGGTTCTTTGTCGTCCGGCGTCCTGATGTTTGTCACCTTTGATCCTCCAGGGCTGCGAGGCCTAGCCGTGCCTTTCCTCTCCTCGGCCCAGGTGTTGGTTTGGGCTGCGCCGGCATGACCAGCCAGGCGAAGGTCTTGGACTTCTTGGATTTCGGTGGCACCTGGGACCCATCATTGGCCTTCGTGATGGGCTGTGGCATCCTGGTCAGCGGCCCAGCGTTCCTTTATGCAGAGCGGGAGGCCAGCAAGCCTCTCTGCAGCGACTGCAGCTACGAGAAGCCCCCAAAGCATGGCAACTATCCACCGTTGATCTTCGGAGCCAGCTTCTTCGGGCTGGGCTGGGGCCTGATCGGGATCTGCCCGGGGCCGGCGATTGCTGGCGTCGTTCCTTACCTCGTGGACGGTGACGGCCCAGGCTTCTCCTTTGGCTTGTCCTTTCTTGTGATCTGCATTACATGGTTGATCACCGTCGCTTTCCTGAGAAGCATTGCTTTGGGTCGTAAGCACGCATATGCCGGTATGCAGTATGCAATGATCTAAGTCTAGAGCCACCCATGTAGGCCTGGACATGTTGGGTTGGCTGTGCTGTGAGGATCGCGTGGTTGTGAAGCTGGAGAAGGCGGCCGCCGCGCAGGCGCTGCCGAAAGCTATGCAGCCTCCAGACCCCAAAGTCGAGGACGTTCCTGATGCGAAGCAGGCAGCTGGGGTGTCGTGGGCCGGAAATCGCTTAGGTACTAAACGTTTGAAGCATCTGCTCCGTGGAGTATAACCCCCATGTCTTGTGAGGCTTGGGTGAAGTCATCAAAAAATATTGGCATTTCAAGGGGTGCCTGTGTCCTGGAAGGAAACGGAGGATGAGGAGAACGTGGTTTATGAAGCGCAGATCTGATGGAAAGGAGAGCCGGGGTCAGGTATCTGATGAAACAGTACCGTGACCGGACATGCTCTACTCTTACTACATCAAGCATCTTTTACCAGAGATTCGAGTGTGAATGTGCCGTTTTGTGTAAAGAAGACTGCGGTCATGTGCAACACAGCCGCGGCCACATCTTTTATTTATCGTCAGTGCATGGCTGCCGAAGTTGCAGCAGCACAGACTGGCACGCTCTTTAATGGCCTTAGCCTCGAGCTTCGGCAAAGCTTTGATGAGATCCCTGCAAGGGCTTTCGTGCTTCACGCTAGATCGTGACGAAGTCATGATTGGTGTTCTGCTCCTCGCTCCACGCAGAAGTAGCCTGTGCAAGCTTGGTAGTTTGAGCGGAAGGCTAATTATGATGAGATTGCCAAACATGGGTAACGTCTTTCCCCGCTCAGGCATGTTCTGTTTTCAGTTTGTTTGGTATGTGTGTGTGTGTCCGTGCCAGGATTTTGCACTTCAGCGCTACACCGTTGAGATTGAGAAAGAAGAAAAGAAGAAGGAGCCATGATGCCACTGTTTCTTTTGAGTTCTACATGGTGCATCGCAGAGTGACTGTGAAGGGTAGGACGTCGTCAAGCTGAAACGAGACCCCGTGTTACCGCCACTTCCGAAGCCGCAAGGATGTTGAAGCTCCTGCGAACCCTGACATGTTCGGTCTCGGAGCCGCCGCCTCAGTATGGCAAGGCGTCGGAAGTACCTCGGCCCAGATTTGATCTGTCAGCTGTGAACTTACAGGATGTAGAAGACGAAGAAGAAGATGATGCGGAGAAAAACCAGCCCCTTGGCAGCACAACATCCGCCGATGTGGCCGGTTGAATGCAGCGCATTATCAAGCATTCCTAAAGACTCATGTTCGCTTGGCAAGAAGCTTGACTCTTGCTTGCTTTCCACTTTCAAGGATCGAGTTGGCAGTCCCCAAGAAGCTGATGGTCGCATCCTTAAGCGCAACCCGTGCGGCCGTGCGACTGTACGATGCGAAATTACAGTCCACCGGCACCTTTCCCCGAAGGTGCTGCCCAAAAACGTGTTGGTAGACTTGAAGCCTCCAAAGAGCCAGCTGGAACGTGTGATGCTCAGCTCAGACACGAGGCATCGAGCCATCCATCTTGGGAAGCTTAGGCCTCGTGAAGGACTGGAACGTCTGGAGGAAACGGCCGCGATCTGTCAGTGCGAGCCAGGCCCATCCCACCGAAGGGATGTTCGGAGTCGATGAAGTCTGCGAGATGTCCATCGTACTGCTCCCCCCACCTCCCCACGATGCTCCAAGCCCGACTCGACGAAGCCCGCCAGAATTTGCACTAACTACTTTACAAGAAGAATGCATTTCACGCGTGATCTGCACGCCCGAATCCGTGCTGCAGGATGCAGAAGCTGTGGCTGCCGCGTTGGGTCCGCCCTTGGAGTGCGCATCCAACGGGTCCTTGTTGGCCCAGAATCCTGGAATAAGTGCAACACCTGTCCCTTTCTGTGACTAGGTCCATGGCGAACTTTCTGCAGGATGCCACGCAAGCAGTCGGCACCGGGTGCGCAGAGACTATCCCGAAACCCAGCAGTTCCAACAGCAGATGGCTTTCTGTCTTCGAAGGTTAGCGACTGGCCGAGATGGCGCCGAGCTCATCGCCGACGAGTGCAGACAGGATGGTGCTGCGCCAGTTCTGCTGCTTTCATTTTCGTGCTTTGAATCGAGCTTTCTACTCCATTCTTTTCAAGTCAATTTTCCACAAGGAATACTGTCACGTGACAGAACTCTGTTTTACCTGCATAGTCCATGACGATGAGTGAGCAGCAGGTGTACAAGGGAAAGGGGTATGACATGCGCTGGACTTGACCATGCAGTGTACTGCAAGTTGTGACACTGTAGTACAACACAGTTTTTGCTGAGCGGAACAGCATGTGCCGTGTCGCAAAACCATCGTACAGTTGCAAGGCATGTCGCGAGATAGCATCAAGTCGTGGCAACGTACCGAAGAAGTATGGAACACCATGTTGTACCCCGCAACACGGCACGACTTGTTGTGGTTCGGTGTGGTTGCCATATGCATGTGCATGGATGTACGTGCGTATGTGTGTGTCTGTGTATGTGTATATGTGTTTATGTGTATGTGGATGTGTATGTGTATGTGTATCTGTATGTGTATGTGTGTATGTATGTACGTATGTATGTTTGTGTATGTATGTATGTATGTATGTATGTATGTATGTATGTATGTGTGTATGTACGTATGTACGTATGTATATATGTATGCATTCATGCATGTATGTTTGTATGTGTGTGTGTGTGCTTGTGGGTATGTGTGTATGTGCGTACGTATGTATGTATGTATGTATGGACGCATTCATGTATGCATGTACGTATCAACGTAACGTAATGCAGCATAGTGCAATGTAATGCAATGCAGTGAAGTGCAGTTTGTTTTAATGGTATGGAATGATATGGCATGGCATGGCATGATATGGTAAGGTGTGGTCTGGTCTGGTATGTCCTATATGCATGCATGCTTGCATGTATGCTTGCTTGCTACAGCGCGCTAGTATGCAGGCTTGTGCACGGGTGCAATGAAGACACAGTGTTCTGCATAGTGTTGTGCTCCGATGTCTAATTCCTCAGTGTCATGCGTTTCTTGCTGCCATGTCATACTGTTGTCATTGCTTTTTTTATGTGCAAATCGTACGCGTGCTTTTGGATAGGCCATCTTAAGCTACATTGCTACGATATTTAACAGACATCATGGATGCGCTCTCGTGGTTGTTCCGTCGTGATGTGACGCAAACCAGTTCAAAACGTTGCAAGTAGTCGAAGCTTTGAGAGGCTCTTTCCAACGCCCGAAACCTCGCAGCCAAGCTGCTGGGTGAAGAGCCGCAGGCCAGCGAAGGTCTTTGAAGTCTTGGGAGTTTTCTAAAATCTCGACTTGTGGCCGGGATCATGCCATGATGGGCCACTCCAACTAAAGCGCCTCCTCTCCGCAGGAGCCTCCGAAGCCACCGCCTCTGAACGAGCCAGCACCTGCTTTGGCGACGAGCTGAGACGTTCTGTTCACAAGGCTGAAGCGCTCACCGTTCAGAACGGCACGTGATATCAAAGTGGAAGTTGAACTCGTGCAACAGAACGCGCACACACCTTCATATCTTGGGGTTTCTGAAAGTGGAGAATGGTCGTAAAGTAAACATGAGACATTTGCTGATCCGTTCCTTTCTGAGGTGCCGTTCCAAGGTGAGACGGTGTCTCAGGCCGGCCTTCAATCTGTGACATTTACGATTGTCAAATGAATTTGTACATCACTAAGTATCGAAAGACGCCGCTGCTTCCGGCTGTCTTTCAGTCGAGCAGGCCTTGAAAGAAGCAGCCGAAGTTGCACAAGCCAGCATCGAACTGAACAAGGCCCTCCCTTCGCAGCTGGTAAAGTCACAGTTCCCTCGTAGCGTGTGCAGCATCGTAGCTTGTAGGACAAGAAGGAGAAGAAAAGGCAGGACCTTGCTGAAATTCTGGTGCTTGTGCTGTGATAATGTACAGGCGACGGGATAGCTTTACTCGAGCTTCTTTTATGAAACATCCTCAACTGCTTCAGGTCTCGATCCAGAAAACGACGACGCAAGAAGTCTTCGTCAACGCCTCAGACGTTGGCTTTGGTGATGATGACCTTGGCCGAGCATGAGTTTTCTCTGATCTGAAATATCTGCTGGCCAGGTCGAGCTCAAGCAGCGGCAAGAAGAAGAGGAAGAGATAGGCCGATTTTGCGGTTTGTGTCAGTACCATAGCAGTGGAGAAAAACGTGCGTGGAGCGGCTGCGAAGTAGTGGGACTTACCGCATCCGTCAGCATGATGCCAACGATGATTCCGAGTTGTTTTGAATCATTTTCCATACGGGTTCAACGTTGCACAGCAAGGAAGGTATTTGCGGCCTTCCTCTTAGAGTAGTATGCTTGAGTACGCACCCTAGCAGGGATCCTGAAACATAACTCGGAACAGCCCACCTGCAACATGGTGACCAAACCCCTGCGTCCCAATGCCATCCGTAATCTTGCTCACAGCTACTGCCACGAGTTGCCGACGCACTAGCTGAAAGTATCAGCATTGGAGGATGCAATCTTGTGGACGTGAGCCTCCTCATCCTTATTGCTCCGTGTAGAAGTAGTATTGACAAGCTTAGTCCTGTGAATACATATTGTGCTGAATATACGGTTAAAGTATGACAACAGCGAGATGTTCTTTTCTGAATCACCGCATCGCTGGTTCAGTTACCCAGCAGTAAGATCGCTCCTGCAACATCTGCCGCCACCTTGGCATCAAGCACCTCACATGGAGATACTTGGCAGTTTCCAGCTTGAGTGATGCCAATAGTCAACATCAATTGCCAGGCTGTGTGTCCGCAGGGCTTCTTGACAAGAAGTCGAAGATAGTATAATCTGGAGGCTAGCATGTCCTATTGCCGCCAGGGCATCATACGGGTGATGCAGCATGTGGCAGGGAGAGTCGCATCATGTCGTCAAAGTCGCAGATTGTGGTCTGCTTGGATTTTTCGTCAACAGACGTCTTTTGAGCGGCTGAAAACAGTGTGGTCTCAAAGTACCGTCAATGCACAGATGAGCTACCATTGTCACATTTGTTTGCTCGTGTGCGTTTGGTGTGGTGTATGTCAGGTGTATGTATGTATGTATGTATGTATGTATGTATGCATGCATGTATGTATGTATGTATGTATGTATGTATGTATGTATCTGTGTATGTATGTAATAGTGTATGCATGCTTATGTATGTACGTGTGGAAAGGAAATATGTGTGTGTGTATGCATGGATGTATGTCTGTATGTACGTAATGCAATGCACTGTACTGTACTGTACTGTACTGTACTGTACTGTACTGTACTGTACTGTACTGTACTGTACCGTACTGCAGTGCAGTGCAGTGCAGTGCAGTGCAGTGCAGTGCAGTGCAGTGCAGTGCAGTGCAGTGCAATGTAATGCAATGCAACGCAACGTAATGTAACGTGATGCAATGTAGTGTGAGTGTAAATAGATAGATGGGTAGATGGATGGGTCAGATGGGCAGAGAAACGCATTGCTTGGCGGGCTACCAAGCACGAGATTTGACTGCTGAGGACCCGATGGGAAGTGGAAGGCTACTCTTCTACAGCGACTCAGGGCGCAGATTTATCCTGTCTCGGCGTCGATGACTTGCGGAAACTCATCGACCGAGAGGGTCTTGGCGTCAAGAAGAATGTAGGTGGGGCTGGCAGACGGACCTTGGACGACATGCGTAGAGAGATGCTTGGCCAAGCTTCTATTTGGGCTGTTTGTACGCTTTCTGTACACTGACATCGGAACAGTCGCAGCTCTCAAGAACGACCTCGAACTTTTTCCAAGCATCAGGTGATCTTGTTTTTCAGGTTTCCGTCGCAGTCAGGATCCAGCAAGCCCGTGCAAGACGGAATAGCATGGATTCTACTCTGGCGGCGTCGTCTTCCTCGAGCATGGGGCTCCGCACCCTACCAGTACAGCCTCAGA